TTTTATTGCTTACATTAACATTTTTAAATACATAAAATAAATTTATATTGTTTACATTTTTATCATTTTTAATATAAAGGTAGATAACAAAAAATTAAAATGCATTTACTTGAAACCTAAATATAAACTACATTGTAAACTGTGTGTAATATAATTATAAATAAATTATAATATAAATTAAAATTGTGTGTATTTTCATTGTAGCAGCAATTGTAAAATAATAATAATAATTTTCAGAAACTGGTATGTTTGTAATATTTCACACATAAATGAATACAATTTCTTGGTGTTTTATGAAAGTGAGAGTTTGAAACAAAATGAAGATTAAATGAAACGTTACAATGACACAATTTTCACGTCTGTTCAAACTCACTGTGTCGTTGATTAAGCACTTTTATTTTGAAGGGATTTCAGCGCTGTTTTTGCGTTTCCCGCAGAGTTTCGTTTGCCGCCTCGCAGCAGGACGAAGGTGAAACCAACGGGAACGAGTTAATCGTCGAACTGGAAGGAAAAGACGAGAAAAAAGAGCGCGAGACCAACATGTGGTTCAGCAAGGTGTGAATCGTTCATTTAGACTAACGCCAATCCCTAAAACCGGTTTAAGCCAGATTTTAACGATTAATTCCCCGCACAGGACATCTTTTCAGAGCTGGATCTGGACGACGACACAGACGCCATGAGTGAACTGAGACAAACCCAGTTGCTGCAGTCTGGGAAGGGCAAAAAGAGGAAAGCGGAGGCGGAGCCTATCACACAGAAACAGGAAGTGGCCGCGCCCTCACAGGAAGTGAAGACGGCTAAAGACGACAGCGACTCCGATGATGACAGCAGCGATGATGATGATGGTGGTGATGATGAGAGGTGACTTTTATATAGTCGTCTATATTAGTGCAAAGCAGAATCAAATGCGTTCTCAGGGAAAAAAAGGTGTTTTGTTTGTTTTTTTCAACAGGGAAATTGCGCAAATGAAACACGCCTCGGCGGCCGTCGGCACGAGAGGAGCGCCTGATGAGGACGACGACTTTCAAGTTGTTCCTGTGGAAAAAACAAGTCAGTTCAGAATTATATTCAACATTTGACATCATCAGAGAATTATATTTAAAACCCTCTGCTGCTCTTTGGTCATTTTTGACTGACTTTGTTTTTTTTTTTTGTTTTTTTTTTTATAGTACGAAACTTGGTAAAGGTTTTGGCACTTGCTGTGTGAACAAAAAAAAAAATCATAGACATGATCCGAACAGGTTAAATGGTCCTGAAAAAAGTCACACTTGAAAAATGAGCGCATAGTCACAAAAATGAGCGCATTGGAAATGAATGGGAGACGAGTTTCCTCTAGTGGAAGCGTTTGGTACTGCAGCCGAACAACATCTCACTGAACGCTCATTTTTATCAAGCTCAAATTTTGAACAACTTGTTTAGATTTAGATTTTCTTTAAAAAGCTACTTTTTCGAACTCCATACGACCGTTTGTCTGATTTTCCCCAAATTCAAATCAGATCATCTTCAGACCATGCCGTGAAAAATGTTACGGATTTTGTGTCGATAATCTAAACTATTTTTGTATACTGTATCAACGAATTTGAGGCTGTATCTCTGGAGAGATTTGACAAATTATTACTCTAAACTTTGTGTAATTGTCACCCGACACTGATCACAACAGATCACTTTGGTGTCAGCGCCACCTATTGGTCAGAAGTAATAATGTGACGTTACAAGTTATTGTATTTTTCGGATTCCAACCGTTTTGCTTAAAATCTCCAAATGTCTTTACTCATTGTTTCAGTTGGTCTGACGCTCGTCATTAGCACGTCATTCTGCCTCTGTGGTGTTTGTCCCCTTTATTTGTTGCTTGCAGCTATATTTAATTTGTGTAATTATTTTTTCTTTCGCAGATAAACGTGCTCGTATTCTTGACGCAGAGGGTTTGGCGCTCGGCGCTCAGATCGCCGCCTCCAAAAGGAGAGTGCGAGACCTAGTCGACGGCTCCTTTCACAGGTAATAGCGAAGACACCGGTTAGCCGTTGCGTTAGCCACGAGTTTCTGAGCTAATAAAGTCGTCTTCGTGCTGTTCTTGCAGGTATGCGAACTCTGAGGACATGACCGAAGTTCCCGCCTGGCTTTTTGACGATGAAAAGAAGCACCGGAAGAGGCCTGTTCCTGTCACCAAAGACATGGTGGAGGAATACAAGCAGAAATGGCGGGAAATCAACGCTCGTCCCATCAAACGCGTGGCAGAGGCCAAAGCCCGCAAGAAGAGACGGGTAAGAGTTCACTGAGGAGAGATGAAAGCCGCTGGGCTTTCAGATAGGCCTGTTGATGCATTAAATTTAAAAAAAAAAATAATAATAATAATTTTTGTTATTCACTGTTATTACACATTTTAGAAAAATAAAATAAAGAATAAAGATGACATTTAAAAATTCAATCAAATAGTTATGAAGTCAAGGTTTTTATATTTTATACATATATATATATATATATATATATATATATCATTTTTTTATATAACAAAAATGTAAACATCTTTTAAATATAAAATTATATCTATTCTAATAATAAAAAACTGAAAATCATAAGAAGAATGTTTTAATATATATCATAATCATTATTAATTTCTTCTATTATTTAATAGTAAAATATATTGCAATATTTATTAATAATTTTATCAATATACAGAGCATTTTTAATTTGAAAAGATTCCATTTTCTTATTTTACAATTATGATTTTAATTTTGAATTTAGTTACTATTATTTTAAAACCATACAATATTTTAAAATAAAATACTGTATTATATTTTTTATTGATATTTAGATTTTCTTATTTATAAAAATATAAATGTATTATTATTCATATTATAATATATTTTGTATTTCTAATTAGATTAATATTTCTATTTATAAAATATTTATACTACATTATATAAACATTAATATTAATTATACGTGTGTGTGTTTAGATGTTTACTTTTTTGTAAACATCTTTTATATATAAAAATATTTTATCAATAAACTGAAAATCATAAGCAGAACATTAAAAGTTTTATATATCAACATTAATTTTCACTTATGAATTAATTTTTTTAATTATTTTTATGGTTGTAAAATAAAATATTGTATTATTAATTTTATTGGTGTTATTTACATGTTTTAATTTATCAAATAAAATATGTATTTATTGTTGTATGAAATGTTCAAAAGTTATCCAGTGGAAAATGGTAATGAAAAACTAAACAAACATACACTGACTTCAAACTGAGTATGGCCTCTAAATGCATATTTTCTTGTCGTAGACGATGAAGAAGTTGGAGCAGGCCAAGAAAAAGGCCGAAGCCGTCGTGAACACGGTGGATATTTCAGAGCGAGAGAAAATGGCTCAGCTCAAAAGGTCAGTCTCGGCATCGACGCGTCGGCTACTTCTCATGTTAAACTCATGAAAACTAATCTTCACTTTTCTTTGCTCGCAGCATCTACAAAAAGGCCGGCGTGGGAAAAGAGAAGCAGGACGTCACGTATATTGTGGCCAAGAAGGGCGTCGGGCGTAAAGTGAGGCGTCCAGCCGGACTCAAGGGCGTTTTCCGTGTGGTTGATGGACGGATGAAGAAAGACACGAGAGCCGCGCAGAGGAAAGACGACAAGCAGCGGGGAAAAGGAGGGCGGGGCAATAAAGCTGGGCGGGGCATGAAGGCGGGAAAAGGACGTCCAAAGAAGTGAGCGACGCCCCTCACGCCCTCATACGGACTGTTCATTTAGCTAGCTGTGTCGTACTGATTGGATTATTAGCGCATATGCTAATATTCACTTCCAGCCTCTCGCTACCAACAACATGCTGTTTTGCTCGGACTTTGACACACTTGATTATAAATAAGGGGCTGAACCTTTAGACCAATCAGACGTGGCTCCAACCGCTGGTGTTTTTCAGCACTGGTGTAATGCTGCGTGTTTTGATGTTTAACATATACTTTGTGGTATATGAACTTCAGGTGTATATACGGTAACCTCCTGATTTTTCTGGGTGAATTATGCCAATGTATGTGCAAAAAAAAAATCTGCTTGGATTGTCAGTGACTTTTAATAAATACAAATTTAAATTGACAAATTGTGTCTTGGTAAATCATAGTAAATTTACATTTTTATATACAAGTATATATGTGTATATCTTTTGTATGTGTGTGTGTATGTGTATCTATAATATAACTTTTTTTTTATCTAATGGGTTTGCTTTATCTAATGGGTTTGCTCGCGCAAGGTCTCTCGCTCGCTCTACGCGGTTTGGAGCACAATCTCTGTCTCGCATGCACGCTCGCTCTAGATAACGGGAGATTTTTAACGAATTTGCGGTATAACTAGTCGATCACGAGTGGCTCAACAGGTAGATATATAGATAAAATCATCTTCCAGGCATTTGACCGCCCGGGTTGACACTTCAGCGTGAGAAATCGGGCGTGTGAGTGTGTGAAACCAATCAAATGCGGGTGTCTCACGGCCAATGCGTGAGAGTTGGCAGCTATGGAATCATGATGTGCGTTTTATTACAAGATTCGTTCCTACCTATTGGCGTCCACATGTTTTGATACTGGGTAACTATATTTGGACAAACTATATGCTAAATCTATCACTATAGTTTTAAAATTTTGACTGAATCTGCACATGTGATTCCTATATAGCTAACAATTGTTGGTTCACTGAAAGTTGTGGAAACGTTAGTTTCTGCTTCCCAGAACGGATATTCTAAAAATTTGTTATCCAGGAACGTTTTATTTACGTAAATAGAACTTTCCTGTTAGGTTTTTATAACATTCACCTATTTGGTTTCCAAAATGGGAACGTCCCCACCAAAGTTTGCTCATTTATTACAGTGTTCACTTGTATGTCGACATGTGGGTGAGGTTTCTTCATCCTTCAAACCCAAATCTACGAGTTCTGGATCGATTTGACCTGTGAGGGAGGCCTGAGGGCGCGCTGACGCGCGTCACGAAACGTCCCACACCGCGGGACACGGTGACGCAGAAGAAGACTGGAGGGATTGTGAGGAGAGGGAGATAATGGGTAAATGAGAGGGAGAGAGAATGGGTAAACAAGAGGACGAGATGCAGAGAAAGATGATTACCTCACATCTCACATGTCTGACTGGATGATTCGCTCTATTGTGGCGGGAACAATAACGGTCGCCGCGCGTGGCGGGTTTAAAACCCCAGAGGCGCGAGGACAGAGCGCAATCTTCGCGGGAGACTGTAACCGTCAGAGAGGTACATGAAGCTAGATTTGATACTATTAACTGGTTTGAAACTTATTACACCTACTTTATTAGATTGTTTACATAAAAAGCACAATCCGTGTCTTTTTGTGGAAATCTTAATGCGTTTGCTCATCTTGCAATGTTTTGATCATCGCACGTCTTGTGTTTAAATGTAAACAAAAGCCTTGTTTGTTCTGTATCTCCATTTGCAATGCATTTAATGGCACATTTAGTGAGATTCGTCATGAATGGCTCTCTTATTTGTCCTCTGAATGAGTAGTTTGTGTGTTGGCAGCGTCCAGGCTCGAGTTTGAAATGTGCTGATCCAGTTTGTGCTACGCACACGATTCGCATTCAAAACGCTCGAATGCATATTATTATAAAAAGCTTGATTGATCGGCTCGATTCGAGCCAAATGCTGATGCCGCTGAACTTCTATTGTTCACATCCTGTGAAAACGTTCCTATTTATAAAAAGTTTGTTATGGCACCTTTTCTAATACTACTGTTTTACTTTAAGATCATTTATCTCTCCAAAAGTGGCATCAGTAATATAGAGATCTTTTGACAACTTTAGATATTTTTATCTTTAGATAAGTATTATTAGAAGCAAAATAAAAGGTGGATAAAATAAAAAATACGTTTTTTTTTATGTGTTGGAATTTAATGATAAAATTTAAAATTCTTGTTAACATCGTATTATATTTTAAATGATACGTTGTATCATTAGAAATAAAAAAAATATTCTAAATATTTTATTCTATATCAAGCTTTGGTTTCATGTATATGTTGTGTATTTATTTGAAACAATACATAAAGTTAATTGCTCGTATGATGATTGATAGGTTGTTGTTGTTATTATGATGTTAAAGTTATAATTTTATTTATCAAAAATTGTTTATTAACATATGAATTAACTTTTTATATATATTTTAACCATTTTAAATGTAATTTCCTATTATTTATTATTAATAATAATTATATTAATTTAACTTGTATTGTATATTATTAATAATAATATGAAAAAGTTACATGTGTATTTATAATAGTCATTTGCATTTTATTTTATTTTATATTATTATTGAAATGTTTTACATTTATTATAAAAATATATATGAATTTATATATATGAATTTATCATACATTTAGATTGGTTTATTAACATTATTTATACATTTAGATTCGTTTATTATCATTATTTATTAACATTTTTATTTATTTTTTATCATTGTTGCCTATTGTATTTTTTTATAAACTTATAAATGTAATTGTCCTATTTAACTATTTTATTAATAATACTAATATTAATAATTTACATTTTTATTTGTGTTTATTATATATTCATTTGCACTTTATTTTATATTATTAGTATTTATATGTTGTATATTTATTATAAAAATATAAGTTTAATTGATCCTAGGGCTGGGCAACGATTAATCGCATCCAAAATAAAAGTTTGTGTTTACATAATATATGTGTGTGTAGTGTTTATAATTATTTTGTATATATAAATACACACACATGCATGTATATATTTAAGAAAAATGTGTTATTAATATATCAAATATGTATATTTATATATAATATTAATTATCTATAAATATATATAATGTATATGCATGCAAATATTTCTTAAATATATACATGCATGTGTGTGTATTTATATATACTAAATAAATATACACACTATACACACATATATTATGTAAACACAAACTTTTATTTTGGATGCGATTAATCACGATTAATCGTTGCCCAGCCCTAATTGATCCTATAATTTATTATTTAAAATTTGTTTTGTATAATCATTAATTTTATAGAATATATTGTATATTTATTATAAAAATTATAAATGTAATTTTCCAATAATTGATTATTATTATTATTATTGAAAACCTGAAATAATCTAATTATATTAGTTTACTTTTTTTAATAAAATTTTATAGTAACAATGGTATTTTGCCTACATTTTTTACATAGTGTATGTTTTAAAGTGTTTATCAGGAGAGGAATGAATAAGCTGAACAATATTTTCGAAGAAAGTAGAGAGAAAATGTGATGTTTGCCAAATGTTGCTAGGTGTAACGAGGAGTCAGCAGAAATGGGATCCATGTGCGGTTTTATTGTAGACAGTAGGAGAACAACGGGCAGAGGTAAATCACCAGCAACAGAGATATCAAAGACAAGGCAGAAACGTAACGATACGTCAGGCAATGGATCAGGGCAGGCAAACAGTAAATCCAGGTAAACAGGGAGAAGATCAGATGGGCACGGGAAGGTACGAGGTAAACAGTCCAAGGTCCAACACAAGAAATCAATTTACTAGGAATAACCCTCAGAAATGTCTGCAATGGCAAAAACAAGACTTTGTTGTGTGTGTGTGTGTGACAAATAGTCCATGGGATGGGGATCAGGTGTGAGGGTAATCAGCACCAGGCACGGAATAATGGGAAACGTAGTCAAAGTTAAAGTTAGTACTCTGGTGTGGGAGCCCTCTGGTGGTGATCAGAGGGAGCCACAGAGACTTGATTTGTGACAGAGCAACCTCCCTGCGAGCGGCTCCTGACACGAGGAGGTGACCGATGCCGGGGTCTTCCATGAGGGCGAGGGGCAGGTCTATCCGGATGGGTCCTATGGAAGTCAGCAATGAGAGATGGGTCCAAAATGTCGTCTGATTCGGTCTCCTCTGGACCATACCCCTCCCAGTCCACGAGGTATTGTAGTAGTCTGCCCCGGCATCTGGAGTCCAGGAGTTCATGCACTTGATAAGCCTCCTCACCATCCCTGATGATAGGAGGGGGTCTCTGGTCACTGGCCTCATCTAGGTCCTCCTCCTCTCGAACCACCAGCGGGCTTGAACAGAGAAACATGAAAGGTGGGTGAGATACGGTAATTGGAAGGAAGAGCCAAACGGTATGAGACTGGATTAATCTGTTTGATTATTTTGAAGGGACCCACGTACCTGGAACTGAGTTTTCGGCAGGGTAACCGGAGTCGAAGGTCCCGAGTAGAGAGCTAGACCCATTTTCCAGGGCGATAATCAGGATGAAGATGGCGGGAGTGGTCAGCCTGTTCCTTCTGGTGCCTCACCGCCCTTTAAAGATGCACATGTGCTTCGTTCCAGACGTTCTCACTCCTCTGAAGCCAATCATTTACCGCAGATAGCTTGTAAGGTTCTCCTGACCGCGGGGATAGAGGGGGTTCATATGGCGTCCAGGACGCATTGAATAGGGTTTAATCCAGTGGAGGGTTTTCTGAGTGAATTTTCTGCATTTTCTGCCCAGAGCAGATAACGATTCCAGTCTGTTTGGTTACGGTGACAGTAGGATCTGAGGTAACGGGTAAGTTCTTGGTTGAGGCGTTCAACTTGACCATTAGACTGAGGGTGGTAACCCGAGGTCAGACTGATATTGACATTGAGCTTCTGGAAAAATGCGACCCACAAACGAGAAGTAAACTGAGGTCCTCGATCAGAGACTATGTCTTCCGGAAAACCATATAATCGGAACACATAATTACACAGAGTTTCTGCTGTTTCAAGGGCCGAGGGTAATTTGGGTAGGGGAATGAGGCGACAGGACTTAGAGAAACGGTCGACTACGGTGAGTATTGTGGTAGGACCTTTGGAATTGGGGAGATCTGTGACAAAGTCGATAGAAATATGGGACTAGGGGCGTTGGGGAATGGGTAAAGGTTGGAGTAGACCAGCAGGGGCTTGGGGAGATGATTTGGTCATTTGACAGGTGGCACAATTCTGGATGAAAGTGATGATGTCGGATTGTAATGACGGCCACCAGAAGCAATTGTTGACGAGTTGACTAGTGGCTAGGGCTGGATGATTAATCGAAAAATAATCGAAACCGAAATTCAGAGCCTATAACCGACGTAATTTTACCATGTCGGTTATTTCGTTTTTTTAATCCTATTAATATTTCCGCCCACTGTGTGTTAATGTACTTTCCCCTTAAAACATTATTGCGTTGTGTAGTGTAGTCACGTAACTCCGCCCCGTCCAGTCTGCGACATTGAAGCAACATGAGCCCAGAGCATGAGCCCCTTTCACACAGCGCGTTATTCCCGGGAAATTGCCAGAACAAACACCTTCTGTGTGAACGCAAACATGAACCGGGATTGATGCCAGGTTGGGGACATAGTAACATTGCTGTGTTCAGTCCCGGAACGCGCGCTGTGTGAACAAATGCCGTGTTGTAAACGACGCTGAAGCCGGGATCGTTCGCTAGTGAAACTGTACGTAATGCGCTAGTTTATGATCGAATCAGAGAGAAAAAAATGCACAAGCGTGGTTTCTCGAGAGAGAAATCGCAGCTCATAAGCAAACTATAGACGCCGCTGAGATATGTCTTTGCGGGTTGTGTGTGTGAACGCACTCTCTGTTTCCGGAAAATCACTGGCAGTGTGAATGAACCAAAGTCAAACGAACCCGGGTCAAATCCCGGGTCACTTTATCCGTGTATTTTCCGGAAGCTCTGTGTGAAAGGGAACTCAAACACTGAGTCAACTCAGCAACAGGAGCCGCTTGTACCAAAGAAACACGCGAAAAAAGAGAGAGAGACTGACAAACGCCCAGCAACAAGTGCCTCCAATCCACAAAGCAGGTTTCGATAACACAAGCATTTACAAATGCTGCACAATATGAAAATTAGTTTTTTAGTTTTATACAAGGTTTATTTTACTTTTAAGATGGCAATATTTACCATTTATTTTGTTTACAAAAATAACTATTTTCTACATTTTTAGGAAACTTTCTTTTTACATTAAAACTTAATTACTTTTTTATAAGACATTGTATGCTTTGTAAACATTGTATGCTTTGTTTGATTCAATTGTTTGAAATATTTAATAAATAAGCATTAAAAGCTATCTGTGCGTTTCCTTATTTTAGAATCACAAAGATAGGATTATGCACTCTTTCATTAAAAAAAATAACCGTGAAAATATGTACAGTATAAGCCAGTGTTTCTCAACCTCTCCTGCAGGGACCCCCTGACAG